CCTCCCCACCACCCACTAGCCCTAGGCTGGGCACTCTCAGCGCTGTTCCTACCAAAGGAGACCCTGGTGGGGCCCTCTGTACCTCAATCTCTCATCAGCCCTTGCTATTGTTTAACCCCATGGCGATCCAACTGTATTCATGAGATCTGAGCACTTTTCGGACATATTGAGCACTCAGATCCAAGTTATCTGGGAATATGTTGGATATATAGGTTAAACATTGTATTATAAGAGTTATGTATTTTTATGTGGTTTTTGTAACAGTTTTTGACTTAGAGATATTTCCTGTACCTGGAGATAATTAAGTTACCACAGCCACTAAAGCCAATTATCTCCAGGATAGAGGAGAAGATAGACCGGCCGCACAGCTTAAATCTGTGAAACTATTTTGGGCATGAAAACCATGCTTGTGACAAATGTGACTTCCACAAAACTTTTGAACCCCTGCTCTGATATGGGTGATTTTTGGATATGTTGTGCACTCAGATCAGGGCTATCCAGGGATATATAATTGTGGTGTTTTGGGGTGTTTTCTCTGTTTTGTGAAAAATGTGTGTTTTCTACCTGTGGGTAATTGGGTTAATCCATTGTGTTTGGTAATTATATCACAGGCAGAGGGGAGGGTTTGTGCACATTATCTGGGAGTGCCTAACTGTACAAGAGTGTTTTGATTGGCCTTGTAACTTTGTGTCCTGTGCTCCACAAGGTCCACATGGGTGGTAACCCAAACTTGTATAATAGAGGCAATAAACCCTCAGTTCATTCTGATCTGCTTAACCCTCAATACTCAATACCATCGTCTCGTGTTTGTAGGACTCTGCTATATTTACACTGGAGATTGCTATACTTTGTATAGGAGAGGGGGTATCTGCCGTTGGAGACGTCCTTCTTCCCAGCAAGATGCTGTGTTGTAGTGGAGTGATGATATCCCATCCACTGGGTCAAAGTAGAGAGAAAAGCAGAGCTCTTAAAAGAGCTAGTGATTAAGCTGAGCAAGTTCCCTTTCAATAACGAGACGAGGCTAAGTTTTGAAGGGTTAAGCAGAACTGATTTAATGACCACACAATTAGTTTCTTTTATGCAGGTTTTACAGTAAAGTTACCACCCACAGGACTTGGTGGGGCATTGACAATGGAAATACAGCAGCCAATCAGTTACAACTTAACAGTAAAAACACACCCATTAATTACAGTACATTCCTCCCCTGTGCTTAGGATATAATTTAGTTAATCGTTATATCAGCTCAATTATCTCCAAGCTAAAAAAATATACTTTTTCCCATTTTCCATAACTCTAAAACTATGCATACGATTTTAACAAAAGTTGCATTTTAATAACCAGTACACTCGGGGAAACAATATATACAAAAACGGCTCGAATTGGACCAGTGGTTCAGGAGTTAGTAAAAAGGTGGATGTGACCGACCGCTTGCACTTTTCCTTGCTCAAAGCAGTTCCACAGATTCAGTCTGTGCGATCGGTCTTTTCTCCCTTGACAATAAGTGTAAATTACACAAACGGAGCCATTCGGGTCTACAATCAATGAATACAGTTTGTTCGTAGGATTATAATGCCGAAATAGCGCTGTGTTCGTATGGCTCCAGTCGAACGCACGGAAGGTAGAAGTTCAGCGGTGTTCGTGGAAAAAGGTAGCCGGAATTAGTTCCACACGGTCGACGACCAAACACAGCTGAGTGCATTTGACTAGACAAAATGGCCACCGCCACGTGTTCGCACAGACGAACGCCAACCACCCTGTTAATTCATTAGAACGTTGGAGGTGTTTGTGGTTTTACAGGTCAAGAGGGTTAATTGGTGCCACACTCCTGCTCTGGGTGGTCAGTCATTCGACAGAATATTGGGTATACCAACGGTTATGGCCAATTACACGATCAGTAATTTTTAGAGAATTCAAATAAACGAATGGTCTTTGTTCTTAGCTGCGTGCAGCAATTACAGGGACTGAAACAAGGGTTTAATGCCCACAGTTGGGCTGAGGCTTCCAGGCAATAACAGGGGCTCTGTTACAAGAAGAAACAGTGACATGACATACATAAAACCCACCAGTCAAGGCTGGCACAACCATAAGGTGGCACATCATGATGTTGGAGAAGAAACACACAAAGGGGCTAGGGGGAGAGAGAAGAACACAGAGTGGCTAGGGGGAGAAAGAAACACAAGGAGGGGCTAGGGGCAGAATGACACACAAAGAGGGGCAAGGTAGAGAAAGAAACACACAGAGGGGCTAGGGGAAGAGAGATACACACAAAGGGGCAATGGGAAGAAACACACAGATGGGCAAGGTGCAGAAATAAACACACAGAGGGGCTAGGGGTGAGAAAGACACACACAGAGGGGCAAGGGGGAGAAATAAACACACAGAGGGGCTAGGGGGGAGAATGACACACACATAGGGGCTAGGGGGAGAAATACACACAGGGGGACAAGGGGAGAAAGAAACACACAGGGAGCTAGAGGGAGAAGGAAACACACAGAGGGGCTAGTGGAAGAAAGAAACACACAGAGGGGCTAGCGGGAAGAAAGACACAGACAGAGGGACTAGAGGGAGAAAGAAACACACAGATGGGCAAGGGGGAGAAGGACACACAGATGGGCTAGGGGGAGAACAAAACACACAGAGGGGCTAGAGGGAGAAAGAAACACATGAGGGCTTGTGGGAGAAAGAAACACACAGAGGGACTAGGGGAAGAAAGAAACACGTAGAGGGGTTAGGGGGAGAAATAAACTCACAGTGGTGCTAGGGGGAGTAAGAAATACGCAGAGGGGCTGGTGGCAAACAATCAGTGGTGTAAGAGACACACTAGTTGATGAAAGACACAAAAGAAGATTGTGATGGACCGCTTGGCACCCCGACTGGGTAGCCTGGATTACTATAAGCACCGCACCGGACACCAAAATCACCGTAGCCCTTTAGCCGCCATAGCTTGGCTGGGGTCTCGCTGTCCATCACCCACCCTGGACCCTAGCCCACGATCCAGCTTCCAGTGGGTGGACCTCTCCTACTCCAGAGAGTATAGCAGGTATAGCAGTGTAGCTCTTACTCCAGTGATTATAGCCAGTATGGCAATCTGAAGCAGGTATAGCTAGTATAGCTGTTCCCTACAATCACAAGACGAGGATGCGTGCTGAGGGTGAAGTTAACTGATTTTAATAGGACAACATTTTGCCTTTTATGACAGTCCCCATGCAATGGGCACTCCCCCTGAACCTGAGAGTAAACCACAGATGAAACAAATAAACAATTACATTGGCTCTCAGATCCAGGACACTCCCATACAAACTAGGTCAATCTCTCTGTACCTGGGAGATAAGTACTGTATTAACTCAATTATCTCCAGACACAATAAAACACACATTTTAATAAAAATCCCAAAATACGTTTAAAACATATACAACCCCCAAATCCCCTGATAGCCCCGATCTGGGTGAACAACATATCCAAAAATCACCCAGATCGGTTCAGAGGTTCAGGAATTTTCTGGAAGTCATTGTTTTGGCCAATTGCACGCATGGTCCCACGCCCAAAACAGTTCCATAGAATTGCGGCTAAGTGCCGCTGGGGACCGACTGGGAACCGCAAAGTCTTCCTGCCGAAACCAGTTCCATAGAATCGCGGCTAAGCGAAACTGGAGGATTGACCGGGAACTGCAAAGTTTAATGCTGAGTTCCAGGGCATTCGCGGCTAAGTCCCCCTGAAGTCTATTCACGGCTTTGGTCCATGCGAATCGCCGCCAGGGAGCTAGCGTTCGGTTCTATGGAAAGTGCTGAACCGGGGAACCAGAGGGAATAAAATATGGGTCTTTACAGTCGCTGTAGTGGAGTGATGATATCCCATCCACTGGATCAAAGTAGAGAGAGAAGCAGAGCTCTTAAAAGAGCTAATGATTAAGCTGAGCAGGTTCCCTTTCAATAACACAGTGTGTGCAGTGTAGTGATGCTAGTCAGTGGCGTACACACAATCAATGGGGACCCCGGTGCAAAACTGCTCCATGGGGCCCCCCAAACCCTTCATCCGCCACCCCATCCCCCCTACCGCCAGCCCATACAGACCCACACAGAGAAACACACAAACATACGTACAGACACACACAGACATACAGACACATACATACAGACACACATACACACACAGACATACACACATACATAGACAGACAGACAGACACACACATACAGAAAAAACATACATACACAGACACATACATACAGAAACACATACACAGACACACACACACACATACAGACACATACATAGACACAGACACACATACATACAGACACACATACATAGACACATACATACAGAGACACACATACATACAGACACACACACACACACATATATACAGACACATACATAGACACACATACACACACACAGACAGACACATACATACAGACACACATACAAAGACAAACACAAACACATACATACAGACACACACACACATACAGACACATACACAGACACACACACAGATACATACAGACACATACATAGACACACAGAGACACATACACATGCACTTACACACACACATGCAAAATATTTTAGTCACCCTCCTATTACCTACCTTTTAGGTGCAGGAGTGTGACTTCCCTGGGGTCAAGTGGCTCAGGTTGATGGAAGTCAGAGTTCCTACTCTGACTCTCTCTGCTTCCTTCCACACGGCTTCTGGTGGTTGTTGGGAGGAGTGACCGTGGCAGTCACTTCCTCCCAGCATCTGATATTATCAGAGGGGGCCCGGTCGCGCTGTTACCAGGCCCACTCTGATGATGATATTCATTTCCACCGGATGGCAGCATGGGCCACCCGATGGACCCCTTCACGTACGGCCCCGGCAATTATACTGCGCGGCCGGGGCTGCAACACATGGCGGCGGGCATCCGGTTGCAGGGGTGCGCAGGGTGGCCGGGCTCTCTGGAGTGACAGAAGGGGACGCTGCTGCAACCCCTGCCACTGGGGTATGTACGCCACTGATGCTAGTGATTTTTATTAATCACAACAGCTACATGAAGCACAGCAAAGCTGTACAGGAATGGTTCAAATCCCCCAAATCCTGCCTAGAGACAATCATGGTGTACTTGGCACTTATTTTAGTCACATTTTAGTCAATGACATTTTTTGAGATTTAGGTGACTACAAGAAAAAAAGACTAAAACAATTGAGATGACTAAAATACGAGAAAAACTCAGACGTTCGTGGCTGTCCAATCACAGACTTCCCAATGCAGCTCAATTAGAAGTCTTTACAAGGCAGGTGCTCTGGGCAATTGCTGAGCTGAGCAAACCAAACCAGGAGGTAACATGAACGGATGTCTGATTGACAGCCAGGGGAGGTGTAACAATGTTAATTTATAAAAGTGCTGATTTGTATAAAAGTCAGCACTTTTTGTAAAATGAAAAAAAAAGAGGACACACTCTTCAAACATACAGCACGTTAGTACACTAAAGTTATTTAGGGGTGTACGTTTAACGAGTTTCCTTTAAACATTCTATATTTTCTACTGATCTGTCAGTAGCCATTTCTGTATATCAATACAAAAGATTAGCATGTGGAAAATAAATTATCAGCTACACTTAAAGCCTCCAGCATCATCTGGTTAAACCATTGAAAAAAGTGTGCTCAAGTGCATCCAGAAATATATATATTGGCTCATGTATCTGTGTATACACACATATATACCGAATATGTGTGTGTGTGTGTGTGTGTGTGTGTATGTGTAATAAATATTTGCCAGAGTATATTGGTTATCTTAATTCATCTGCCATGATACTCTGCCAGTTTTATGGGCTTTATTAATTTTGTTACAATTTATTACTTTTTCGAATTAGTCGATATGACAATGTGCCATTAACTCTCCTTTCACTTCCCCTTTCTCTCTCTCTCTCTCTGTAGGCAATATATGTTTATCACACCTGTTCTTTTGAAGAGCGAAGAGACAGGAAAAGTCTGTGTGACCCTCAAAAAAATTGACGAGCCACTTGACCTCAATGTCGTCCTACAATTAAATGGACAAAATACCACCATATTCTCTGAGGATGTTCCACCTCCGTCTTTCTTCCAGTGTAATGACATCACGGTGAGGCCATTACTCCTAAAAGGAGAGCAAATATTTCTTAATCACATTACAGTAGTTATGGTGTATGGAGTGCCTATGCGCTGGATCCTGCAACATTACTTAAAGGTTTAATAACCATTTTGCAGAGATACTCAGCCTAAAACTATAAATATTCTATTAAAACAATGATAAATAAATCCCTAAATCAAGAATAGAAATGCTATTTGGTGGCTACAAGGCTGAAAATATGATGGTTTTACTATGTACTCACTGACAAGGGGTCTAGATAGTTACACAAGCCACAGTCACTTTTTATTTATTGTAGATCAGTTACATTTATAGTAACTTTTAATTAAAATTTACAGTGTTGTGTAAATTTATTTTTTCACTTGGAAAATCAACAATATTTTTTTTTTTTGCCAGGACTGCCTATACCTTTACATAAAACCGATTTATTTATTTTCAATATATTGGAAACATTTATTTATATATATATAATTATATAATATATATATAATGCAGAATATTTCAGATTTCCAAAACTTACCTTTTCATTTGCTAGTATGTGTCATCACATACGTCAAACTACAAATGATCCATAATTAAACTCGATCTGTCACTAGAAATTAACCTTATCTACTCTGCTTCTATACAGCTCTCTGTGTCTGAATCTCTTTTCATTTGATTCCTGGGCACTTCATTTTTCAGAAAAAAGAAAAGTAAGGACTACAGTCACATTGACATAACGTTTCAGTTGGCAATCATATGTACCCACACTCCATCAGTAAAATCAGCCCAACTTCTGCTTTAAATGCTTAAACTAATTATCTGGCATCATTACAACTTCCTCTTAATTTACAAGCGGTTAAACTCCAAAATGATCCAGAGGTGCCCATGCCCTCGAACCCGCTTCCTGCTCCTCAATCCTAGGCTCCAATGTGGAATCCTTGAATGGGTGCAGGGGATAGGCTTAGAGCATCATCTTGCCAAACAGTTTAACCCCTGAGGTTAAGAAGGCATCTGGCCCCAAAACAACTAAAATATGCCCATGTTATAATGGGGATAGGATTGTTACTTTAATTCAATTAAAAAAATAAAATCACAAGAGGGGGGGGATCTATTCACCAAACCATCAAACCATTAACTATAAGAATTGATAATCATTCCAATATTTAGTGCAAAATAATCAAATTATGCCATTTCTCTCTCTGTCCACCACAGAGCATATATGTGAGTGTATGTATGCTTAGGTATATGTGTGTCCTTTAATTTTTATTATAATGTGTTTTTCATCAACTTTAAAACTATTAGAGATGAGACTTGACTGACCTACCTCTCTTATTCCCACCAGGCTCCATCGGCTGGAGATCCAACAGTAGGCTTCATAATTTTTTCTGCCATCGGAACCAACACCAAAATCCTAGACCGAAAGTCAGTGGTGGTTCAGTCTACAGAGAATCACTACTTTTTCCAAATGGATAAACCCCTCTATAAACAAGGGCAGAAAGGTGAGGGCAATAAAGATTGACAGAACAATCCAACTGGTGACACGGACACAATCTGAATATTATAACACAGTTTTTTTTGCAGTATTATGCTAAATGAGTTTGTCAGGCTTTCTACTACATAGATTTATTGTGAATATCTCAAGGTGAAATCACGGTTTGACTTGTGTGCAATTCTGATAAATCTCAGCAATTCATTTAGCGAGAGGCAAAGACTCCAATGCAGTGCAGGAATTCTAGGAAATCTAGCTTACATAAAATGATTACTTATCAGAAATCTTGCTTAATGAGATACTGTATAATCTTTGTAAAACGTATCATCCCCCAATATTTAGAGAACAAATTCATTTACATTATTGAATATTCAATGTAAATTTGTGATGTAACTATGATATGGAGTTTATATACAAGATAAATAAATTAGCATTGCGCTTTGAAGGGTAAAAACTATACCTCACTGACGAAGGCCAATGAAACCTGAAACGTTTGTCCGGTGTTGCTGTATCTCTTGTGCAGAGGTAATTTGCTGGCATTTCGGTTCTGGACTGCCCTTACGTATGGGATCAATCTGGTTCTATCAGTAATGGCACATGTGGGCAAACAAAAACTATTTTGAGAGCTTAGCAGAGATTCAGGGATTAAAGGGACATGCATCTTTTTGAAACAACTGTCTCTTTTAAAAGCTTAAAGCGGCACTGTCATGGCCACATTAGTTTTTTTTTTTAACTACCCTCCCGACTGCAATACATTTTATAGTCCTACTAGTCACCCCCAAATGCCCCAGGCCGTTCATTTTACCCATGTTACCTATGTTAATAACTGTGATGGTCCATCTGGCACCCCGACTGGGTTCCTCCGCCAATCGATGCTTCCTAGCTGATGCTGTGGACCATAAGCACCGTACCGGACACCATAAGCGATGTAGACCCCACGAACCAAAGAAAAATTGGTTGGGGTCTCGCCGTCCCTTCCCGTCCTGGACCAAACTCCTGGATCCAAGGACTCAGTGGGAAGGCCTCTCCTCCAAGAGAGTATAGCTGTGAAGCTCTAGTAAGAGCTAGTTGTATAGCTGTATAGCAGGTTCCCCACTATCACAAGACCAGGTTACATGTTGCGGGTTAAGCAGGAATGGTTTAATGGTAGCCACATTGGCCTTTTATGCAAGTCCCCAAGCAACGGTGACACCCACATAGACCTTGTTGGGGACAGGCGGGCACAAATGTATATACCAATGATAACAGAGTTACAATATAAGGCACTCCCACATACAATAAAAGAAGCCTTCTCCTTTACTTAGGAGATAATTGAGTCAAGCACTATACTAAACTCAATTATCTCCAAACACAAAAAACACTCATTTAAAAAAAAATTAAAAAATACATTAACCCCTTAACGTCGTTACGGCGTTCTATGCCATCGCGGCTTTAAAGGGCTTTAAAGCCATTGCAGCGGCATAGAACGCTGTAACGGCTTTGAGCCCCAGGGGATCGCAGCTACTTACCTCCGCTGCAATCCTCTTCTAGAGGGCTGCCTGGGCGAATGAGGCCCCCGGGGGCCATGTGATCGCTCTCAAAGACCCCCTATAGCTGGCTGTGGATCTGCCAGCAGGGGGGCTGTCTGAAATGTCAGACAGTCCCCTTGCTGGTGGAATGTGTAAAAAAAATAAATTAAATTAAATTAAAAATAAATTAAAAGTATTTATGTATATATAATATATGTATATATATATTATATATAATATATATATACATATTATATATGTAACGTCATACGTAATGTATTTTAATACTAATATTAGTATATATATTAGTATTAAAATACACTATATTATATATTAATAAATTAATAAATAAATAAAATAATTAAATAAATAAATAAAATATTGAAACAAAATTTAGTATAAATTATATATTAATATGTAATTTAATTCTAACTGTATTTTGTTATTAATATATATATACATATATATATATATATATATATATATATATATATATATAAAACAAAATACACTTATAATGACATTCTATATATATCTATCTATCTATATATAAAATACAAATAACCGCAAATATATATATATAGATAAATGCATATAATTACATAAAAGATTACATTAGTATACACGTAGAATTTAAATACCTATAAATGCATATATATTCAAATTCTACGTGTATATTTAAGTAATCTTTTAACATAATTATGTGATTTGATTAATTAAAATTTGATTTACATGCCTGACAACACAGGGAGAAAGTGCAGAGAATTTAATTTGCAAGCACTATATTTGACCCTGTAACTCTCCAAGACACCATAAAACCTGTACATGGGGGGTACTGTTTTACTCGGGAGACTTCGCTGAACTCAAATATTAGTGTTTAAAACTGGTAAATTGTATTACAATGATGATATTTTAAGTAAAAGTGACGTTTTTTTGCATTTTTTACAAACGAACTGACTTTTATGGACTATATTATTGTTGTAATATGTTTTACTGTTTTAAAACACTAATATTTGTGTTTAGTGAAGTCTCCCAAGAATAACAAAACCCCCTATGTACAGGTTTTATTGTGTTTTGGAAAGTTAGAGAGTCACATATAAGGCTTGCATTTCGTTTTTTGGACATTGAAATTTGCCAGATTGGTTATGTTGCCTTTGAGACTGTATGGGAGCCCAGGGATAAGGGGTATGATGGCATACCATTTGCAAAAGTAGACAACCCAAGGTATTGCAAATGGGGTATGTCCAGTCATTTTTAGTAGCCACTTAGTCACAAACACTGGCCAAATATTAGTTTTTTTGCTTTTTTCACACAAAAACAAATATGAACGCTAAATTTGACCAGTGTTTGCGACTAAGTGGCTACTAAAAAAGACTAAACATACCCCACGTTCAGTACCTTGGGTTGTCTACTTTTTCAAATGGTATGCCATTATGGGGGTAATTCTCATTCCTGGGCTACCACACCGTCTCAAAGGTAACATTACTAATCAGGCAAATTTCAATTTGAAAATGGAACGTTCTATATTTGACCCTGTAACTTTCCAAAACACCATGAAACCTGTTAATGGGGAGTACTGTTGTACTCGTGAGACATCGCTGATTACAAATATGGGCATTTTTTTGCAGTAATACCTAACAGTATTATGACATTTATAATTTAAAAAAAAAATGTAAAATGTTTCACAGTTTTTTACATTTTATTCATAATAAATTATGTTTCATGAAATGGAAAAATCAATCAAAGTATTGATTATTTCTTTGTGTATCTGCCCCTGGCCAAATCAATGAAACAGTGCGTGCACGCTCCCTGAAGTAATTCACACCAGACACAGGTTCCAGGTTGTTGAATAACTTGAGGAAAGTTTATTCAGAGGGGACGGCAGGTCCCTTTTAAAGCAAAATTACATCATAAGCATTGTCAGAGATAACATGGAATAATACATCAATAATTGGTCAAGTGTTAAGTGTTTTATTCAAAGCACGCCCTACAGGGTGTGCCTTCTTATGTCATTACTGTCGTCATGGAGTTCTCCCCCAGGATTCCAGCGCCATCTTGAAAATTAGAGTGTTTGGTCGATGGGTGGGGTACTCCTGAGTGACATCTAGTGGTCAGTTTAGTAATTTATTGAATAATATTGAGTATAACTAAATGGAGTAAATAGACATTTTACTAGCTATCAATATTTCATGTCACCAGGTCCATGAGAGTCTCCCACGGTTTCCCGGCGCCATCTTGTTGCACGAGGTAGTTAGTCGGTGTTAAAGGGGCAGGGGGAGGAGGGGGTTAGAAGCTTCTAGCAGCCATCTTGATTAGAGCATGTGTGTATAGTTTTATATATGATATATCGTGGAATGAGTAAATAGACATTTTCACTAACTAGGAAATATGTGCAGACCTTATTTCCACAACAGTCCCCCCCTAAAATGGCTATTTACCATAACAACTGCTACTGTCCCTAATATGTCCCTAGCTGCCTGCAACCTATCTGTCTTAACAAGCATCGAACACTTCACTCCGCGGGTAACCCGCAGTGGCTAATCCACCACATCTCCACACGTGAGACTCGCCTGCTAAGACAGACGCTTTCCCTACACTATCCCTACAGGAAAGCAGTCGTCTGTTTGAACTGATGTGCTTGAAGGGGTGTATGTGGGGTGTCATCTTCGAGGTCTGTGACGTCTTAGTGTAGTAAAGTAGGGGTTACGTCATCTACAGTCTTATCTACCGCTTTCTGTAAGTATTTCTGTATGCAAGGGAGCACGCAACAGGTTAAAAATAAGAAGATGATAATCATTATAAGAACAGCTGTCCCTACCTGGAAGAGTGACCTTTGCCAACCATTCATCCATCCAAACCATCTGTCCCAAGTGTCAGTGACTCCTGAATTCTTCTTTAGCTCGTCTGCAAGACTATCTAGCTTCTCTATGGCCATAGTCACCTTACCATTGGGCCCAGTGTTGTCTGGAATGTATGTGCAGCATGTCATGGTCTCAGGGAGGATTTTACATACTCCCCCTTTCTCAGCTAAAATCATATCTAGGGCCATTCTGTTCTGAAATGTCATTTGAGTAGTGGCTTGTAACTGTTCTGCTAGGCCCTGTAGGGCATCCCTTGTGTAGTTGACAAAGCGCTGCTGATTATAATAGATGTAGTTGATCCAATTGACATTTTTGTTAGCAGTTATCATTGGAATTAGGGATTCAAATCCTGCAGCCACTTCATCTCTTGCTTTGAATTCGTTAGGCACCCCCCTTGGCACACCTATGGCATCAATATACACATGGGGGTCGAAGCTCCCTCGGATAGGAGCCTCTCGTTTGGTTCTAGAGTGTACATGTGTAAGGTTTAACGTGTTATGACTACCATCTGGAATAATGTGGATAGGCATTATGACTTTGGTTAGGGCACACTCCCCCCACCATTGCCCAGCTAATTGGGACCTCAATTGTTTGTCACCACATAACCAATAGATATCACCGATTGTCTTTGTGTGATTCATTAGCAGTGATACAGGTGGATTATGGTAAGTTGAGCAGTATCCTGATGGGAATTTGCCCAGATACAAACCAGTGTTCTTAGGTATTGAATAGCATGTGTAATTACCTGGGTAGACGGTGACTCCATCAGGTGGTTTCACATGTCCATGGGTGATTGGGTAAACTTTCTTCCATGATTCACATGTTGAGGAGTTAGTGGTGGATTGTGCATACAGACTCAGAACACATAATTCTACTTCAGGAGGTGAGCTCAGAGGTACTGTGCCCAGATGGGGCCTAGCTCCTCCACATACATAGCAATTAGTCTTATTGTGTGAGTTGGCATTATACCTCATCCATTCTAGCCACAAATTAGTGTCTGAAAACCCAGTCTCTACTGCCATAGTGTCTTCAAAGGTGGGATTGGCTATAGCTACCATGTCATGTAGAGTCTTAATATGTGGTTTTTAACGGGTTAATAGTCATGTGAGTGGTTCCTACCCAGTCTGGTGAGGTGAGCCTTTTTGCTAGGTATGTCTTTGTATATGGCTGCATATTGTGTTTGTGGAAAAGGTGCAAACAACTATGTCACAGTAATCAAAGGTGTATGTAGCTACATCTGTGTTAGAAGAATTGTACCAGAAAGTGTAAACATGATTATCTTTGGTTATGGCCACTTGTTGGGCCCAGGCAAAGTGTAGCAGCATAAGAAAACACAAGACACATAATAAATTCATATTTCAGCAAGATTAGCCTCTTCTGGAGCAGGCACTTTTTTGCAATGTGAGGCGTGTATCCAAGAACTCTTCCCGGCTAGTTTAACTGACGTTGCTGTAATCAGGAGCACTTGATATGGGCCATCAAATTTTGGTTCTAGGGTGTGTTTCCTAAGAAACTTCTTGACCATAACCCAATCACCAGGAAGCAGCTTGTGTGTACCTGTATTCGACTCAGGATCTGGAATAGAAGAAAACACTTGGGCATGTATTTTGGTCAAGGCATGTGAGAGGGCAGTCACATAGTCTACCATAGCATCTGACTGAATCTGAAGCTGTTGGGGAAAGTAACAACCTAACCTGGGTGCTGTACCAAATAAAATCTCATAAGGTGATAGGCTATATTTTCCCCTAGGAGTGTACCTTACACTAAACAACGCTAATGGGAGACTCTCGGGCCAGGGCATGTTAGTTTCTTGTGACATTTTAATCATTCTGGCTTTCAAAGTGCCATTCATGCGCTCTACCTTACCACTACTCTGTGGGTGATATGGTGTGTGGAATGCAAGGGTCACCCCCAGTGCTGACCAGACTTCCCGTGTTAGCGAGGCAGTGAAGGAGGTCCCTTGGTCACTTTCAATCACTTCTGGAACTCCATATCGACAAACAATTTCAGTCAAAAGGTACTTGGCTGTAGTCCTCGTGGTGAGATTAGTCACTGGGAAGGCCTCTGGCCATCCTGAAAACATGTCCACTATGACCAATGCATATTCATAACGTCCACTCTTTGGCATCTGAATGTGATCAATCTGGATCCTCTGAAAGGGGTATTGTGGCTTGGCTAGGTGATTAGGTGCGGACTTTATAATCTTTCCAGGATTGCATTTAGCACATATAGTACAAGATTTACAGTAATTCTGTGTTAAGGTAGTGATGCCTGGTGCTTCAAAATACTTGTCAATCAATGAGTTCATCAGATGTTTTGACAGGTGGGCTGGCCCATGGGCCCATTGGACCACCGCTGGATACATATTTCTGGGTAGGCAAAACTTGAGATTGATAGTGTAAACATCATCACGGAGTACAGCTCCTTTGTTCTTCCAACTTTGTTTCTCCTGGGGAGTAGCAGTAGCTGGTTTTTCCTTTAGAAGCCTAAGATCCGTAGGCAGTGTCTGCATGGTGTAGATGGGCACTGCCTCTGTGGCCACTCTTCTGTCCACTTCCCATCTTTGTCGTGCTGCTTCCTTAGCAGCCTGATCAGCTAAGTGGTTGCCCCGTGCTTCTTCTGAGTCTAGCCTTCCGTGGGCTTTTACTTTTAATACTGCTACCAAATTAGACCAAAGTCATGTGCTACTCCCAGAGCATATCTTGAGTCTTAAGGCTGTTAACTCTGCTTCTTGAGCAGACTTGGTTGGTTGTAGGGCAGCTGCTTGTAATAGTTGACATCCGGTGGTGACTGCATACCCAGTGTGATATTGTCCCTGTTCATCAGTGAATCTTGACCCATCCACAAATAGTGTTTGATCCGGGTTGAGTAATGCAGCTTCATAGACAGTTGGTAGGTGTGTAGTTTACATTTTCATTTGTTCAAAACAATCATGAGGAATATCTAGGTCACAGTCTGTGATGAGTGGGTCTTCACGGGCTTCTGTGTGATACTTTGGGTACCCTGCTGTACAGTAATTAATAGTCTTTTTGTTGATCCCCGTAGAAGTCAGTTGTTCTTGGTTCATTTGACTCCAGGTCTTGGCCATCGGGCCTAGGTCTTTCCATGAGGTGTCGGGGGATCTGGTGAGAGATATGTGTGGGATAGCTGTTTCCCAATGATGGTAGAGATGTGTCATGTTCTCTGGAAGATGGACTAAGATGAGCAAGGTACCTGTGGGGTCCCATAACAAGTCAGTCAGGGTAATTTGAATTTCCTTGAGCTGGAATAATTCTTCCTCATAGTTCATATCAGGGCCTGGTCTGTCTTTAAACCATAAGGTGCAGTGAAGTAGGGCCTCTGATTGTTCATCATGTGGGGGTGCAAGTGCAGGCAGCTGCAAATCTGCTCGAACCTCTGGGTTGATGTCCAGGCTATACCAGTAATGCACAATTCCCCCCTTGGGAAGTGGCAGAAGAGTGGCCGGGTGCAGGGAGAGACATCGCTGAAGTTTCACATTGTCAGGTAACAGTAAGGATGTTTGTAGACGAAGGTAACGTTGAGAAGAAAGGTGCTTAGGTTGAACTTGTTGCAGGATTGCAGTAATGTCATGAGGGGCCAACACCGTGAGGTGGTGACCAAGAACAAAATCATTAGTCTTGTCCAAGAGGACACCGGCAGCAAACACCGCTCTGAGGCATGAGGGACTACCCCTAGCAACGGGGTCGAGCATGCAGGAAAAATAGCCAATAGGTAGCTGCATTGAGCCATGTTTTTGGGTTAGGACTCTGGAAGCATGTCCAGACTTTTCTGAGACAAACAGATTGAAAGGTAACTGGTAGTTTGGAAGGCCCAAAGCAGGTGCAGAAGCAATAGCTCTTTTCAGATTTTGGAAACAGGTAATAGCTTCTTCGGTGAGATGAAAGGGCTCACACCTGAGGGAGTCAGAGTGGCTGCATGAGCTTTGAGGCTTCCGGTATCCAGGACCTGCAGTATGTTAAGAGACCCAAGAAGGCATGAAGAGTCTGATGTGTTGCAGGTAATGGGAGTTGCAAAATAGCTTGTACACGCTGAGAAGTTAGATGTCTGGTGCCATGGGAAAGACAATGTCCCAAGAAGACCACAGAGGGCCGGCACCATTGCAGCTTGGATTTGGAAGCTTTGCAACTGGCTTCAGCGGGAAAACATAGGAGATCTTCTGAGTCACGTTCAGCAATAAGTGAATCAGGAGCACAGAGAAGGAGGTCATCAACATATTGAAGTAGGACAACATCAGAGTGAGTTTTCTGCCAGGGTTCTAGTACCAAAGACAAGGCACGGGCAAACTGAGTGGGGGAATTCTGGGCCCCCTGAGGTATGACAGTCCAGGTGTATTGTTGTCCTTCATGGGTAAAAGCGAAGAGGAAGCGACAGGAGGGGTCTAGTGGCACACTGAAAAATGCATTAGCCAGATCTACTACAGTGAATACCGTGGCTGTAGGTGGGACCTGAGATAGGAGAATATGTGGATTTGGAACAATTGTAGTATCAATGACAGTCACTTCATTGACAGCACGAAGGTCCTGGACCATCCTGTACTGGTCAGGTTGTCCTTTAGCAGTTCTCTTCTTGACAGGGAAAAGGGGTAAGAGGGAGTGTTACATGGAGACACATACTTAATGAGGGCACCTTTGGCGAGTAGGGTTTCGACTTGTTTGGTGATAGTATCAGTTTGTGCAGGTTTCAGAGGATACTGTGGTCTACGGGGGGGGGTAATGCTCCTGGCAGGAGCTTGACCACAACGGGGGGCACTTGTAGACGTCCGATGTCATCTGGGCCGGTGGACCAAAGCTTTTGTGGGATACGGTCCAGAGCACTGGGGGTTTGTTGGACCCGTGAATTCACTGTGGAGGTGGTGAGGTTTAACAAAATGGGCAGTGAGCAGAGTACAGTGGTGTCTGTCTGTGATAAGGGTGTAGTTAACTGGACCCTGGAGCCGAGAAAGAACATCAGCACCCAAGAGGTTAATGGGACAAGTAGAAGAAACAACAAAACGGGAGAGTATGTGTGAACCAACATGCAGGAGTGTAGGGAGGGGGCTACTGCGGGGTGTACCATCCACCCCAACACAGGAGACATCGGTGTCTGACAAAAAGGGGGGGTCAGGCAGGTCTTGTTCCCTAAGAACACTACGGGCTGCACCTGTGTCAACTAGAAAGGTAGTTGGATGACCCTCTACGGGGAGAACTACAGTAGCTAAGGGCCCTCCCCCGCAGACACTGCCATGGCAGGGGTTGCTGACACAGGCTTGCCGGTTACCTATTGCAGTAAATCTAAATGGGCCTGGTCGGGTCCTTGGTACCGGCGGGTACAAGTGGGAGGGTGGCTGGACTGCATAGGAGCACGGGCAAGGCGGCTTTGTCGAGGTAGGGGCTGAATATCTTGGAAACCACCCGTGTCAAACCCATCAGCAGGAGCTGGAGGGTATGCACGGGCCTCTAAAGCAGGGGGCCGGCTGGGATGGGCGTGATAGGTGAGTATTACGGACGTGAGCAAGGGCAGAGATTGGATCGGAAGGCTCGGGGACGTTAGCCGGGGGCGGAGAAGGGGTTGGAGGATCAGAGGGAGGAGGTGGAGGAGGAGGAGGTAAATCAGTGGGAGGCGGGGCAGGAATCGCGGAATTAACCAGGGAGGTAACAGCAGAGAAGAGGGCGGATATCGATCTAGACAGGTCATTGGCCATGGTTGGGTCAGGGGTCACCGGGGGAGGGGTCGGAGGGATGGGAACAGGGGGCTGGGTCGTAACAGCGTGGGTAGAGGGTTGGGACGGCAAATCAGTCGGGAGGGGAGGAGGCAACGAGGTAGAGGGGACCGG